AGTACATACTTTCTTTTCCTAAGGAAGACAATCCAAAGTCTGGTTTGGTTAGTGTTTACAAGTCCAGGGTCCCTGGATTAGAAGCTTGAATACGTGGGAGCCCTGGGTCAGTTTGTCAGCTTTCTAGAAGGGTGATTGGGTGTTCACTTTTTTTTTTTTTTTTAAAGATTGGCACCTGAGCTAACTGTTGCCAATCTTTTTTTTTTTTTCCCCTGCTTTATCTCCCGAAACCCCCCTGGTACATAGTTGTATATCTTAGTTGTGGGTCCTTCTAGTCATGGTATGTGGGACGCCTCCTCAATGTGGCCTGATGAGCAGTGCCATGTCTGTGCCCAGGATCCGAACCGGCGAAGCCCTGGGCCACTGCAGGAAAGCACGCGAACTTAACCACTTGGCCACAGGGCCAGCCCCGGGTGTTCACTTTGATTTGCCTTTGGGATCCTAAATGTCAGTGTCTGTCAGTCATTCCTGGAGCAGTGCAATTTCTCCAGAAGGAGCTATGGTTTTTCCAGAGAAGGATCTGACCTGCTAAGGACTATAGGCCTGGCTATTGTGGAGCAGGCAGGAGAAAGCCCGTGGTGGGGTGGGAGCTGCATTTCACCCCCCTTATGCAGACTTCCATTTAATCTGTTTTCAACCTGCCACCTCCTTTCCACCCTCCTCCACGGCCAGGGGAACCAAGTGAAAAGCCTCCTTAGTTCTAGTTGGTTAAAGATTATACTTCAGTTTTCTGTGGAGGTTCTGGAGGGAGCGATAGTCACCTGACCACACGAGGTAGGAGTGGCCCTACCTTGGGCTTGAACTGCTCCTTATGCACATTTTCAAGCACTCTCTAATTTTAGCCCCTCGTTTTCTCCCCACTTCTGGAGTACCTGAGGCCTCCACCTCCTAAATGTTTCCAGATTTCATCAGTACTGTTTCAGAAGGCAGTTGTACCTTTTTCTTCTGTGCTAAGTCAATAAATTTTCTCTAAACAATATGTGTCTTCATATGTTATTGTTTGGGTTACATGTGTCTCAATTTTTTGTAGCAGCCTTATTGAGAGAATTCACCTCTCTTTTTTCCAGCTTTATTGCAATATAGTTGACATATAAAATTGTAAGATATTTAAAGCATGCAGTGTGATGATTTGATATATGTATACATTGTGAAAGATTACCCCCACTGAGTTAGTTAACACACCCATCACCTCATGTGTTTACCTTGTTTTGGTGTCTCTAAGTTTGCCTGTTCTGGACGTTTCATATAAATGGAATCATACAATTATTCCATTCCAGCCTTTTGTGTGTGGCTTCTTAATGTTTTCAAAATCTATTCAAGTTGTAGCATGTATCAGTACTTCATTTCGTTTTGTGGCTATATAGTATTCCATTGTATGGATAGCCCATATCTTACCCATTCATCATTTGGTGGACATTTGGGTTGTTTCTTCTTTTGGCTGTTATGAACATTTGTCTACAAGTTTTTGTATGGATGTAGGTTTTCAGTTCTCTTGAGTATACACCTATGAGTGAAATTGCTGGTTCATCCAGTAACTCTAGGGTTAACATTTTGAGGAACTGCCAAGCTCTTTTCCAAAGCAGCTACACCATTTTGCATTCCCAACAGCAATGTATGAGTATATTGGTAACATCAGTTTTCACGTCTTTGCCATCACTTGTTAGTGCTTGTCTTTTTGTTACAACCATCCTACTGTTTCCTCTAAATTTTTCTTAAAATGGAGTTTGTAGTTTTGTTTCTTATATTCTGTGTTGTTTTGGATGATTTTCCTGAGGAGGAGGAGGCAGAATTCTTTGCCTTAAAATTAGAAGCTCTTTGGTCTTATTTAACTTTTGATTTGGGCTGATAAGATGCTGTCAAGGATGATAAGCTGCCTAGTTCTTCATCTGGCAATGTCTATGAGATGTTGGCTGTCACTTTACTATTGAGATTTCACTGAAAAAAATCATATGCCTGGAATATACACAAGTTCACAGAACGGAAACTCAGAATGGCTGAATTGTAGCATATCACATACTGTCAAAAATTGTATTTTTTTCTGCAACTAGTTGTATCATATCAAGTTCAGGTAGCTACCTGGCGGCAGTTCTGGACAATGCTGTAGGCATCAGGCTAAAACATTGTGGCAGGTATTTTAAATGAGTTAATCTGAAATACTGTATTAAAAAGAGCACTGTTTTCTTTAATATTTTATTCCAAAATGCATGAATTGTACATAGATGGATAGTTAGGTGTACTTAAAAACTTTCCAAAACTCCAGCAATAACCAATAAAAAATGTAATGAAAGAAAATCCTATTCACATTAGTGGCAAAATAATGAAACACAAAGATCAGTTGATTGGGTGAGTCTAGAGATGGAACCAAGGATCCCTGAAGAGAATACATATTCAAGATGTATTTCAAATCAATGATGGAAAGTGTGATTATTCCATAAAGGGTGTAGGAAAAACTGGCTTGCAACTTGGAAAAAATAGATGGATACCTGTCTTGCTATCGGGACCAAAATAAATTCCAGAAAGAGATGTAGATGGGAGTGGAGGAAACATGATCTGTGTTCCTCCTGCCTCCTCTTAAGTTGAAAAATTACATCAGTGCCCACTTGGGAGGCTGTCCCATCAAGTATACGCCCTGTGGTCGTGGATCTTACAGACTTTGGCTTAACTTTGGTTGTTTATTGTACCTCTTTCTCCTTAGAAGTAAGCTAGGAGTCCATAGCTGTTTGGTAGCAAACAAGCTCTTGTCTTGTGGCCTACGTTTTGTACTGGACGTATTTTTCTTTTTTTTAAAATTAACTTTATTGAGGTATAATTCATATACAATAAGATGCACACATTTGAATGTACCATCTTAGGAGTTTTGACAAACGTCTACCCTTGTGTTATTTCAGCGTTCTGTTCACGCCAGCAAATTCTCTTACCCCTTTGGAGTCAATCCCAGTTCGCTACTCCATGCTCCATCACAGATCTAACAGAAAAGCTAAAAATGTAAACCTTATAGAATAAAATATAGAAGGATTTTATGACCTTGAGGCAAAGATTTCTTGGGTGAGAAACTAAAAGCAGTAACCGTCAAAGAAAAAAGATAAACTTTACCAAAACTAAAAATATATGCTCGTGCCCTCTGGTTTCTGGTCTGGCATGTGTTGTGTTCAGAAGTTGTCACTCTGTCCTAACAAAAAATTGAACTGAAAAAATCAACTCTTTTTTTGACTTAGCAGAGAAAAGAGCAAACTCCTGCCCCGAAAGTTGGAAAGTCAGCCGGGCACATATAGAGTCACGTTACTGGAGTAGAAGCCCAAGAGCAGAAACCTCCATGCGAACCAGCAGCAGGGTGCGAAAACTCTTATCCATAAATTGCTGGGGGCTCAGTGTCAACAAATCTGAGAGTTAAAAACACCAGGGGGCGCCCACTCTTAGGGGTGCCCCTACTCTTCCTGAGTTTTATCTCACATTTTTCCTTTGGTTTTTTTGGGGTTTTTTTTGAGGAAGATTAGCCCTGAGTTAACTGCTGCCAATCATCCTCTCTTTGCTGAGGAAGACAGGCCCTGAGCTAACATCTGTGCCCATCTTCCTCTACATTATATGTGGGATGCCTACCACAGCATGGCTTGCCAAGCGGTGCCATGTCCACACCCAGGATTCGAACCGGTGAACCCAGGACTGCCGAAGCGGAACGTGCAAACTTAACCACTGTGCCACCGGGCCAGCCCCCTCACACATTTTTAATTATTATTTTTATAGAGGTCACATTGGTTTATAATATTATATAAATCTCAGGTGTACATCATATTTCAGCTTCTGTAGAGACTGCATCCTGTTCCCCACCAAAAGTCTAGTTGCCGTCTGTCATCGTACATATGTGCTCCTTTACCCTTTTCACCCTCCCCCCATCCCCTTCTCTGGTAACCACTAATCTGTTCTCCATATCTGTTTCTCTTCCACATGAGTGAAGGCATACAGTATTTGTCTTTCTCTCTATGACTTATTTCACTTAGCATAATACCTTCAGGGTCCATCCATGTTGTCACAAATGGCAAGATTTCATCTGTGTTTATAGCCGAGTAGTATTCCATTGTGTATATACACATCTTCTTTATCCAGTCATCAGTCGATGGGCACTTAGGTTGCTTCTAAGTCTTGGCTGTTATGAATAACGCTGCAGTGAACATAGGGGTGTGCATATCCTTTCAAATTAGCTCACACATGTTTTATTTCCCCTATGTGAGAAGGGACACAGAAGGGTTGGGATTTTTATTTTTTAATTGTATGTGTAATAGTGGATAAATAATTTGTTCCTAAGATTCAGAATTCAAAAAGTACAAAATGTTATACAGTGTCAAGTTTTTCTCTTATCCCCATCTTTCAGCTATTCCTCAGTTCTCTTCCCTGGGGACAAACCATAGTATTGCAGTTTATTACATCTTTTCAGAGGTTTTACACACACACACACACACACACACACTTTCCCCCCATTTTTTCATTGTACTGCAATTTAACTCTTCCTCCGTTTGATGGCAGAATTGATCAAAAGAATTGGCATCTTTATGCTACTGAATAGTCCTGTCCAAGAGCAAGGTACCTTTCCATAGTTCAGGTCTTCTTTTGTGTTCCTTAGTAATGTTTGAAAGCTTTCTTCATATAAATCTTGCACATTTTTGTGCAATGATTATTTCTTCTCGTGTAATCATAAGCAATAGGAGTGGTAATCTTATGACTTCAAATTCACCAATTTCTGCAGGGAATAGCTCACACTTATTGAATACCTAATATATGCCAGGCACTATGCTGCTGTTTTAAATAAATGTATAATATGCGTATGAAGCAGATGTTACTATCTTCAGTTTATAGATGAAAAATCATAAGTCCAAGGTCACAGAGACAGTAAACTTTTGGACCCCAAAGCCATTATTTTCTACCATAACCCAGAAGGAGCTGTAGGAGACAGTGAGGTGACTGGCTGTTGTTCCCTAGGAAATTTTAATTCTCTGTTGCTAATTACATACCACTTAAATGTATTTTATTAGGTTGATCAAACTCATTACAATTACTATTTCTTACATACTGAAGGCAGTATACATTTTTTTATTAAGGTTATGAAAGTTAACAACCTTGTGAAATTACAGTTGTACATCATTATTAGTCATGTTATAGGTACACCACTTCACCCCTAGTGCCCTCCCCCCAACCCCCTTTCCCCTATCAGTATATGTTTTTAGAAAATGGTTAAAAAGAAATTAATCATCCAAATAATCTCCAGATTCCATGTGCCTTTTTTTTTAAGATTGGCCCTGAGCAAACATCTGTTGCCAATCTTTTTTTTTCCTTCTCCCCAAAGCCCCCCAGTACATAGGTATATATCTTAGTTGTAGGTCCTTCTAGTTCTTTGTGGGGTGCCACCTCAGCATGGCTTGATGAGTGGTCCTAGTTCCACGCCCAGGATCCGAACCAGCGAAACCCTGGGCCGCCAAAGCAGAGCACCCGAACTTAACCACTCAGCCACAGGGCTGGCCCCTGATATGCCACTTTTTTATGCCTTCACTATTGCTTTCCCCAAATTTTCCCCTTTCAGCATTCCCATAAATGCAGCTGGCATGTTTTCAAATCCTTCAGTGATGTGTTCATGGTACTGGATTTTACCCTGTATTAAAACAACAACAAATATAATAGATTAATTACATATTCTGCATGATACACTCTTCTCATCCTCGCAACAAATTTATCAGGTACATCATGGGACACTTGGAACTATAAGATGGTAGCCCTGTCCTCCGTGAGCTTATAGTCATTTTGGGGGCACAGTCACATACACAGTGTACGTAACATTACAAAGTACACACAAGAAGGATTTAATAATAGGCGTCAGATCACTGTATAACAATAGGAGAAATGTCACAAGGGAAAGTGATTAAGCAATTTCTAAGTAAATTGTGTGGAAAAGGTTAATAATGTAATGATCTTATAAGAGGTGGAAGTCGAGGGAGAAAGGGGTATCCTTCCAGGGTATTTATTATCTCTTTTAATCCTTCCAGTAGCCCAATAAGGTAGCACCGTTGCCTCCATTTGACCACTGAAGAGGCAGAGCCCGTTCAGGAAATGTAAATACCCTTGCAGTCTAATCATTGCTCTTCCCTTCAAGCCAAGATTCTTTCAACACGTGTTTAACATTCATTTAAGAGCATGGGAGGGAAGGGCTCATTCAGAGAGGAAGGCTTTTCATTTCTCTTTCTCCCACAAGGCACAGTCTGCTAAGTGGAACTAATTTACATTTTCAAGTTTGTTCTTTTGAAGGAGTCTTATGTGGAGACCTGTGTTACCTGATACCATTTTTTCCTAACGTTTCCCAGTGATGGTTTGGTACCATTATGGATTTATGGAGGGACTATTTGCTTGAGGTCACTCAACTAGTAAGTAGGGAAGCTGGGATTTGAATCCCTCACTCGAAAGCCCCAGCTCATTCGTACTCTTGAAGAGGCAAAGAACCTGGAAAGTGTCAAAAGCTATAACCCAGTTTAAAGGTCAAAGCAGAGCATGAAAATATAAAATGTTAATAATATGAAAAATTAGAGTATAGAACACAGGGTATGGGAACTCTTTACCATCTAATTTTTCTGTAAATTTAAAACTATTCTAAAATAAAAAGTGTATTTAAAAAAGGGAGGGATGAGGAAAAAAAAAAGCAGATGAGAGAGAAATTAGAGTGGCTCACTAGTTACTTAAAACAAAATTATAATTAGGTTCACTTTGTCAGAAGGAAGCAGTAGGGACACCAGCCCAGTGGTTTCTTGTTGTCAGCTGTGGTCACAGAGGGTCTAGATTCGATTTCACCAACAGGGACAAAGAGGCTACACACTGGGAACTTAAAAACCATTCAGCTCTTCCCAGCTCTCCAAATCCAGCACAAATCCAGCACTCCAAGTGTTAGACTGGGAAAAATGCCAAGCTCCAGTGCCTGCCAGTGGAGCAATCTATTTCTTTGAATTGGGAAATGATCATAAAGCCAGGAATTAGGAAGTGTGATACCACTTTTCCCCTCTGAAACTAAAATAATGCACTTTGGTTATTCAGATTTCTGCTGACTGAAACTCTACATGGTGTGAGGTGGGAAAAAGATCACAACGCAGGAGAAAAGGGTTGGCTTCCTCCTCTGATCTAAAGCCATGGCTGTAAACACCTGGAAGAGTCACCGCACAAACAGATGCCCCTCTAACATTCATTCATTCAACGATATTCATCTAGTGCCCACACTGATTCAGACACTGTTCTGGGTGGGGATATGTCAGAAAACATTGCTGCCCTCGGGGAGGTTACATTCTCATGGGAGGGCGATGGGTGATAGATATAATAAATAAGTGAATTGTGGTATATATTATGTTAAAAGATGATAATTTCTATAAATTAAAGTAAGGAGGATCAAGAATGAAGGGGGGGTTGCAAATGTAAAAAAAAGGATCATTTAAAAAGTTGCCTCCTTCAGAAGACACTTTTTTAGCAAAGATTGAAGGAGGTGAGAGAACTAAGGCAGCCACAGCGCAGGTGGCGGGTGGGAGGAGGGATTGGGCAGAGTGAGAAAGGGGGTGAACACTAAGAAATGAAATTAGAGAGGTAAGGGGGGCCAGATCGTGGATAGCCGTGAAGGTTATTATAAGCACTTTGGATCTACTCTAAGTGAAACAGGGAGCTTTCCAGGGTTTTGAGCATAAGAATGACAAGGTTTGATTTATGCTATGTGTTGGGAATTGTCTGCAGAAGCGCAGAGGTGGGAAGCCAGACAGAGGCCACTGCAACATCCAGGCAAGACGAGACAGTGGTCCAGAGCAGGGTGGTAACCATGGAGGTGGGAGAAGTGGTCAGATTCCATATGTATTTTGAAAGTTGAGGCACAGAACTTCCTGACAAATGAGACATGGCTATGAGAGAAAGAAAGGAATCAAAGACGGTGTCAAGGTTTTTGGATTGAGCAACTAGAAGGGTAGAGTTGCCATAACTGAGATGGTGAGGTCTGTATATGAAGCCAGTTTGGCAGGAAAGATGAAGACATATTTAGTTTTTGACATGCTAAGTCGGAGATGCGTATTACACATCCAAGTGCGGCTGTTGAGCAGTCCAGAGCTCAGAACAGAGGGCCGGGCTGGAGACAGTTAGGAGCTGTCAGCATACTAGTGACATTTAAAGCCAAGAGCCTGGATGGGCCAACTAAGGGCTAGAGAGCAAGTGAATAGAGAAGAAACAGGCCCAGTGACCATGCCTTGGGACACTCTGTTAGGAACCTGGAGAGAAGAAAAGAAGCTGGCAGAGGAGTCTGACGAGGACCAACCAGTGAGGAAAACCAAAGTGTACCAAAGAGACAGTGATCACCTCTGTCAGATGCTCCCCACAGCCAAGTGAGGCTAAGAATTGACCACTGGAGTTCACAATGGGAGGGACATCGGCGACCTTGAGAAAAGCAATTTTGGTGGCATGGCAACAGTGCAAAAGCCTGCTATGTGGGTTTAAGAAAGAGTGGGAAGAGAGGAACTGCAGACAGTAAGTGTAGACACTTGTAGGAATTTTGTTATAATGGGTGCAGTGAGATGGCCCTGTACTTGCAGTGGAAATGGAGTCAACAGCATCAAAAGGGAATAAGATCTCGTGCGCAATTGCAGGGAGTGGCTCGGGAGCCCCTTACCTCCAAGACCCATTTCAGCAAGTCTTTCAGAGCCTTCTCGCGGACTTCTCCTTGCCAGGTGGTGACGATGAACCCTTCCATGCGGAGTTGCTGATAGATCATATTCTCTGGGGGTGGGCCTGTGAAGAGGAGGGCACATTTGGGCAACAGGGTCCAGGGTGGTAGCCATGGTGAAAACATGAGCAGTGCAAGTCGCGTCCCTGTCCTCCTAGTGCCTCCTTTTCCATTTCCTCCACTCTTTTCTGATCCATGGGGCTGCCCACAAATCAACACGCACTCTGTGGTAGGCAGAATAATGGCCCCCAAAGATGTCCATGCCCTAATTCCCAGAACCTGTGAGTATCTTACCTTACATGGCAAAAGGGACTTTGCGGATAGGATTAAGTTAAGAACCTTCAGATGGGGAGATTGTTCTGTATTATACAGGTGGGCCCAATATAATCACAAAAGTCCTTGTAAGGGAAAGAGGGATGCAGAAAAGTCAGTCATGAAAAAGTACATGATGATGGAAGTAGAGAGCATAGAGAGAGAGAGAGTTGAAGATCTTATACTGCTGGCTTTGAAGATGGAGGAGGGGGCCATGAGCCAAGGAAGGCAGGCAGCCTCTAGAAGCTGGAAAAGGTAAGAAAAGAGACTCTCCTGTTGAGTCTTCAGAAACAATACAGCCCTGCCGCTCAATTCTAGACTTTTGACCTCCAGAAGAGTAAGTCAATAAATCTGTGTTGTTTTTTTCTTTTTTTTTTAAAGATTTTTTATTTTTTTCCTTTTTCTCCCCAAACCCCCCAGTACATAGTTGTATATTCTTAGCTGTGGGTCCTTCTAGTTGTGGCATGTGGGATGCCGCCTCAGTGTGGCCTGATGAGCAGTGCCATGTCCCCACCCAGGATTCGAACCGCCGAAGCACTGGGCCGCCTGCAGCAGAACGCAGGAACTTGGCCACGGGGCCGGCCCCAAATCTGTGTTGTTTTAAGCCACTAAACTGGTGGTAATTTGTTAGAACAGCAATAGGAAACTAACACACGCTCAGAGTCCTTGCACCGACCGGGCAGCCAGGGAATGTTCATCCCTCATGAGCCAGAAGCAAAGCCCACCAGAAACTTCCCAAACAGTTCTGTGGAAGAGAAAGAGGTCTGAACATGTGAAAATGGTTCTGTGCTACTCAAGGATGAATACCCTGATATTCCCAATACTTCGCATGTTCTTCTTTATGGTTTAAAGCAGTCGCTCTATGGCATAAACCTGACTTTTCTGCATCCCTCTTTCCCTTATTTCCCTTCTGTTCTGTTCTCAAAGCAGATGCAAAACTAGCGTGCACCCCTGGCCTAAGAGCCAGTAAGAGAGAAGAGATCAAGAGGCTCAGCAACTCCCACACCTGCCCCGGCCCTCGCCATTTCAGGATATCAAGAGTTAGCCTGTGGGGGCCGGCCCCATGGCTGAATGGTTAAGTTTGTGCACTCTGCTTCGGTGGCCCAGGGTTTTGCTGGTTCGAATCCTGGGCGTGGACGTGGCACTGCTCATCAAGCCATGCTGAGGCAGCATCCCACATAACACAACTAGAAGGACCCACAACTAAAAAATACACAACTATGTACCAGGGGGCTTTGAAAGAGGAAAAATAAAATCTTAAAAAAAAAAAGTAACATTAGCAGTCAGAAAAGTGGGGCTTCTTTTGGTCTTGAACCAATAGAAACTGAGGCAAGATAAGTGGGACGTGAGTGACATAAGAGAGTGACACATCTAAATGCTAGATTGGTCTTCCAGAAAGAGTGCTTCTTCAGACAACCCACACCAACCATATCTCTCTTTGCTTTTGGGGCTAAGGATTGAATCCTCATTTCCTCCTCTTGGAGGAGGAGGCAGGATTGTTTCTGAGCTTGTCCACCCCGATGGGAGTGCGGGTTTCTTTACTGAGAGCAAAAAACAAACGTGGCATTAAGGTTGGGGAAATAATTACTTGCCTCTGAGCTACCCTACCAGTGAAATATGTTAGCATTTCTGGAGATCAGAGCCAGGGCAGAATCCCATCTGATTACAATGGGATGGACATGGCCAGCTGACGTCTCAAAGACCTATCTGAGCAGCTGAACTTCCAAAGACTAATTGCTAAAAAGACCGGATCAAGTTACTATAGCCAAAATATTTGGCTCTACCTAACTGGACTGCAGTCAAGAAAATGTATCCTGGAGCTTTGCTCAATTGGCAGGCAAAAGATTTCCCATGATTCTAGCTTAGCATCAATTAGAAAAATATAGGGAAAAAGAGTTCCTAACAGTAAGATTGCCAAGTGCGTCTGGAGTTTTCTTCTGGGAGAAGGTAGCGTCTTGGATTTTTCACAGCCCAAGAGGGGATCTACAAGTTGTCCTTCCTTCAGCCCCTTCCACCCTCACCCACCTGTCTTGGTGCAACTGTGGGAGGGCTAGAAGGTTTCATTCCCATGAGTCAAGCCCATCACAGGATGAATAACCAATTTGTTTATGGTTGCCTAGATCCTGATGATAAACTGGAAGATTCCCTTTTTGTTCTTCCTTCTCCCCTTTTTGGATCACAGGTAAATCTGTTGTCTCACCAACAGCTACAATTTCTGCACAGAATTGTAGCAGAAAAGGACTCTGTATGAGGAGTTTGGAAGACCTGTCTTTGTTTTGGGTTTGTTGCTATTAGGATTTGAAGAGTCTCTGGTCCTCTCAGCCATTCATCTCCCCATCTGTAAATTAAGAGGCCTGTGCAACCTCTCTCAGAGGACTGGGGTTTAATGAATATAGTTCTCTAGTTGGTGCTGCTTTTGGGCGTCTGTGGTTGTGGAGGTGGGAAGGGGTGGTCTTGGCAAAGGAGAGGGGAGGAGGGGGGATGGAGGGAACGGCAGGGCACGGGAGAAACAAAAGAAGGACAATCAAGGAATGGAGGGGAAATGCACACTCCTTTCTTTTTTAGTGGAAATTGTCAGTTTGGTGAGGCCCAGATGCCCTGCTGCTCTAGGAAGCACTGCCCACGACTGTCTGAAGGAAACGGCAGCCTGTTTTTTCCTTCACCCACATGGTCACCTTCTACCCATCCCCCACACCACCAGCAATATCCCAAATATCCTGAAGAACCAGCCAGACCAAGGTGTTCTGTTTCTTAATCAAATCATGGCTATCTTTTACAACATTGCCGAAAACAATAAGTAAAAACTAAAACTTCTAATAACTGTAAGTGTTTCTTCCATATTTTCAGATCCTGTTATTTCTCTGTATCAAAATCTAATATAAGATGATTTAGCACAAATATATAACATTATATATTATTATTTTAATAAATACTATTTCATCAAGAATATCAGGAAATCTTTTAAATATCTTGATAGTCATTGGCCTATACCCTATCTGCAAATCTTCTCCTTGTCCAGTCTTCCCACATCTGTGACCATGTGCATGTGCTCATTACCTGGGGGAAGTTCGCCAGTACGGTTATATGTAGAGATGGCCCCACATATGGCAATTCTTCCGAATTTCTTCATCTGGCAGATAACAGTGTTTGAAAACACTCCACCTACCTAAACAGACAAGCCAAAAAAACCAAAAACACTTTAGTCCCGTGGCTAGTGGTTAAGTTTGGCACACTCCATTTTGGCAGCCTAGGTTCGGTTCCCGGGCATGGACCTACACCACTTGTCTGTCGGTGGCCATGCTATCGTGGCAGCTCACATACAAAAAAAGGAAGATTGGCAATAGATGTTACCTCAGGGTGACTCTTCCTCAGCAAAAAAGAACCGAAAATACAAACCTTAAATAATATAACAGTAGAAGATTCAGGAGAATCATTGAGTGACAATTATCATTTCACAATAATTGTTTTAGCAGCAGCACCACTAATTAGCACAACAGAGCAGAAAATTGCATTTGGAGAAAGATCTTAGAAACTGAGCATTTCCATTTGACTGGAGGGACATACATTATATAACTTATAAATTTTACTTTGTTATATTTTGGGGTTCTCTGATCAATTCAGTAATCTCACTGCCTTATCTAAAAGTATGGAAAAATACTCAAGAGGCATTTAAAGAACAAAATTGCAGGACACATTTTCCAATTTCAAAAACTGACTACAAAGCTATATTCATCAAGACAGTGTGAGAACAGAAATGTAGATCAATAGAACTGAATTGAGAGTCCAAAAATAAACCCTTACATTTACAGTCAACTGATTTTCAACAAGAGTGCCAAGACAATTCAATAGGAGAAAAAAATAGTCTTTTTGACAAATATTGCAGAACAAATGGATATCCATATGGAAAAGAATGAAATTGCACCCCTCCCTTACACTGTGCACAACAATTAAAATGTACCATAGACCCAAATGTAAGAGCTAAAACTATAAAACTCTTAGAAGAAAACACAGGACTAAATCTTTGTGACCTTGGGTTAGGCATAGCCTTCTTAGACATGACCCAAAAGCCCAAGCAACTAAAGAGAAAACAAATTGGACTTCATCAAAATTTAAAACTTTTGTGCTCCAAAGGACACCATCAAGAAAGTGAAAGACAACTCACAGAATAGGAGAAAATATTTGCAGACCATATACAGTTGATCCTCGTTATTAGTGTATTCCATATTTGCAAATTGGACTACTTGCTAAAATTTATTTATGACCCCCAAATCAGTATTCACAGAGCTCTCCTTGGTCATTTGCAGACATGCACAGAGCAGTGAAAGAGACACAAAGTTCTCAGCCAAGGTCAGACAAAGCCATGGCTCTGCCTTCTTTGTGAAGCTCTCATACAGAGATTACCAGTAGGGGGCAGTGCAGAGTGGTTCAAGAAGCTCCCACTTTGGGGCCAGTTGGATGGGGTATGAATCCCAGCTCTGGGAGGATTAGTTAGTGGGGCGCCTCAGGCAAATTACTTAACACTTCTGAACTTCATTTTCTCTTTTGTTAAATATAGAAAATAGAAGTTACCAGGAGGAGTGGTTTTTAGGATTTAAGATTGTAATCTATGTGAAATATGTGCATATATATACATACTTGCCCTAGGAGCAATGGTTCAGTGTTTGTGGTGACTTTATAGAATGTAACTACCAGGAATACTGAGAATTGACTATATCTGATAAGGGACTTGTATGCAGAATATATAAAGAACTCGTGGGGCCGCCCCGTGGCTGAGTGGTTAAGTTTCCGCGCTGCGCTTCAGCAGCCCAGGGTTTCACTGGTTTGGATCCTGAGCACAGACCTAGCACTGCTCATCAGGCCATGCTGGGTGGCATCCCACGTGGCAGAACTAGAAGGACCTACAACTAGAATATACAACTATGTAGTGGGGGGCTTTGGGGAAAAGAAGAAAAGAGAGAGAAAAAAAAAAACTCTTATAGCTCAACAAATTACCCAGTTGAAAAATGGGCAAAGAATTTGAATAGACTTTCTTCAAAGAAGACATACAAATGGCCAATAAGCACATGAAAAGATGCTCAATATCATTAGCCATTAGGGAAATGCAAATCAAAACCACGGTGATACATCACTTCAAACCCTCTAGGATAGCCATAATGAAAACAACATGGGGCCGGCCCTGTGGCCGAGTGGTTAAGTTCGCGTGCTCCGCTTCAGTAGCTCAGGGTTTCCCTGGTTCGGATCCTGGGCGCAGACATGGCACCACTCATCAGACCATGCTGAGGTAGCTTCCCACATGCCACAACTAGAAGGACCCACAACTAAAAGTATACAACTATGTACTGGGGAGCTTTGGAAAGAAGAAGGAAAAGTAAAAATCTTAAAAAAAAAAAAAGAAAACAGATAGTAAGTGTTGGTGAGGATGTGGGGAAATTGGAATTCTCATACATTGCTGGTGAGAATGTCAAATAATATCTTGAGGACTGCAAAACAGTTTGGCAGTTGCTCAAAATGTTAAATACAGAGTTACATATGACCCAGCAATTCCACTTGTAGGTGTATACCCAAGAGAGATGAAAACACATGTCCACACAAAAACTTGTACATGAATGTTCATAGCAGCATTATACACAATAGCCAAGAAGTATAAATGACTCCAATGCCCACCAACTGATGAATGGATAAATAAAAAGTGATATATCCATACAATGGAACATTATTTGACCATAAAAAGGAATGAAGTATTGATACATTCTACAACATAGATGAACCTAGAAAACAAGCTGAGTGTAAGAAGCTAGTCACAAAAGACCACTTCTGGGGGAAGTGGGGAGTGACTGCTAAGGAGTACAGCATTTCTTTTGGGGATGATGAAAATGTTCTAAAATTGGTTGGAGTGATGGTTGTACAATTCTGTGACTATACAAAAAACCATTGAATTCTATACTTTAAATGAGTGAATTAATTCAATAAAACTTTTTTTAAAAAAGACATATGCACTTTCTTCATATATTTTATTTATTTATTTTTTATTTTCTTTTTCTGCTTTTTCTCCCCAAATCCCTCCAATACATAGTTGTATATTTTAGTTGTGGGTCCTTCCAGCTGTCCCATGTGGGACACCACCTCAGCGTGGCCTGATGAGCTGTGCCATGTCTGTGCCCAGGATCCGAACCAGTGAAACCCTGGGCTGCCGAAGCGGAGCGCGCGAACTTAACCACTCAGCCATGCGGCCGGCCCCTCTTCATATATTTTAGATGGAAACGCCAGAAGTATATTCCTTTTAGAGTACTTTGTTAGTAAATCAGATATTAAGTACAATTTGTACTTACGTTATCAAAATAACAATCATATCCATCAGGAGAGGCTTTTTTCAAAGTTTCTTCCAAAGACTCGACTTTCTTGTAGTTAAAGGCAACATCAAATCCAATCTTTTTAAGGTAGGCAACCTTTTCGTCAGACCCTGCTGCTCCAACAACTTTGCAGCCCTAAATGAGGAGAAAAATGGAAACCATTTATAAGCCACATGCATGGACCAACTCCACCCTCCTAGTCTAGAATGGTCAGGTTCCCCAGGAACACCCTCCTGGGTGCTGAACCACATATAGGAGGATACCATAATGGGTCAACAGGCCCCAGAGGTGACATTAGTCCCTGAACTAGCCTACAACCCAACCATAACTTCACCTTCCTTTGAATACCCAATAGATCCCGCCTATGTTTGTGTGGTTTATAGTTCGTTTCAACCTGCTGGCTTGACAACCTATTCATTGGACTCTTACTTTAGTTTTGGGCTTCTCTTCCCTTGCAATGACTTGTGTGCTATCTGTGGGTGCAGTGGTTCTTGACTATAATTTTGGCTCAGTTCTGGAACTCTCATATCAGACAGCCCTCCTGGTAACTGTCTCCTTATTCTTTGATTTGGACTAAAGCATTGGACTAGATGCTGCCTAATCATAGAGGAACTGGAGAGCCTTCTGAAAAACACTTTCAGGAGGAGACTAGAGATTGTATTGGTACATAGAAAGCAGCTCTTCAGAAAGCTCTGATATTATTGAAAGCTCTGAATGTATTGTGAAGACCAGAATGTGAGCCACTGTGCACTTTCAATTGGGGAGAGACCTTTGGGTTCATGCATGTATCTGCAAACAATGGCTGCCAGATACTTTTTCCATTCGTACATGATCCAAGAAAAAATTTTGCAAAAGCTCCATCCTTCGTCCTGTTTTCCTTCTAACCTTATGCTCACATAGGATGATCTCATTTACTCTTACGACCTCACTGTCACCTTCATGCAGATGATTCCCTCATCTGTTAACTCCAGCCATGCCTCTCTCCTGAGTTCCCAATTAGTATTTCCAATAACCTATGAGAGTCGTCACTTGGATCGCCTGAGGGACCTGATAATCAGTGTGTCTAAAATGGAATGTACTTTCCTTGCTTCTTACTTCTTATTCCTCTTCTATTCTCTGTTTTAGTAAATGATACCACCCAGTTATCCAAACCTGAAAAATGTGGGTCATAGGAGATGCTTTCCTTTCTCTCACTATCCACATCCAATCACCAGGTTTTATTCTTTTTTAATTTTTTTTTTTTTTAAAGATTTTATTTTTTTTGCTTTTTCTCCCCAAAGCCCCCCGGTACATAGTTGTATATTCTTCGTTGTGGGTCCTTCTAGTTGTGGCATGTGGGACGCTGCCTCAGCATGGTCTGATGAGCAGTGCCATGTCCGCGCCCAGGATTCGAACCAACGAAACACTGGGCCGCCTGCAGCAGAGCGCGCGAACTCAACCACTCGGCCACGGGGCCAGCCCCCCTTTTTTAATTTTTTTACTGAGGTCAAATTGGTATATAACATTGTAGAAGTTTCAGGTGTACATCTGCATAATTTGATATCTGTATACACTACAAAATGATCACCAAAGCTCTAGTTACCATCCATCACCACACACTTGACCCCTTTCACCCAGTTCGCCCACCCTGAACCGCTTTCCCCTCTGGTAACCACCAATCTGTTCTCTGTATCTATGAGTTCATTTTGTCTCATTTGTTTGTTTTGTTTCTTTTTAGATTCCACATGAGTGAAATCATACAGTATGTGTCTTTCTCAGTCTGACTTATTTCACTTGGTATAATACCCTCAAGCAGGTTTTATTTATTTATTTTTTGCTGAGGAAGATTCTCCCTGAGTTAACATTTATTGCCAATCTTCCTCTTTTTGCTTGAGGAAGATTTGCCCTGAGCTAACATCTGTGCCAACTTCCTCTATTTTGTATGTGGAATGCTGCTACAGCATGGCTGCTGATGAGTGGTGTAGGTCTGTATCCGGGAACTGAACCTGGGCCACCGAAGTGGAATGTGCCAAACTTAACCACTAGGCCATGGGGCCAGCCCCAAAGCAGATTTTATTCTTTTCTACTGTATATTTTAAAATCCTGGCTCTGATCTCCACACTCCACTGTCAGTGCATGACAATTTTCATCTGAATTATTCTAAGAGCCTCCTAATTGGACATCTTGTTTCTAGTATTGTGTCCCTAGAAACTATTCTCCTAGCAAGGTCAAAGGGATTTCTCTAAAATGCAAAACTAATCACATCACTGCTTTAAGGAGTAAGCACAAACTTCTTATCATGGCAGTCTCCAGTGGAGTTTCTAAAAGAATAGGTTTAAGGGTAAGTCCTATCAAACTTTTGAAATAAAAATCACTTCTAGTTTTAATAAAACATTTAAAATTTCAATCTTGGAAATATTACTAATTCATTTTGTAAGTCTAGCATAACCCAAAGCCAAACACTGGGTGAGTTCAGAACAAAAAACTTTAAACCAAACTCGCCTATGAATATAGATGCAAAAATTCCATTTAAATTGTTATCAAATCCAAAGGGATAAATCCATAATATACCATAGGTAAATAAAGCTTACTCCAGGAATGCTAGAATGGAAAACTAATGTAATTCATTAACTGCAAAGTTAACTTATAAATGCTGAAATGGCATTTGATAAAATTCAACATCTATTCCTATGTATTAATTTACTTATTGAAATAAATTCTCCCTGCAGCCTCTATGGTAGCCTCATCTCTTATTTGTATTCCAAGTTCCCAGTAGCACTGGAGACCAGCCCGAAGCCTTGGCTGTTGGTTGTAGCCCTGTACTCATCTGTATTCCTCCTATCTTTTCCTAGGAACTTCGTCCTGAATCCTGCATCCCAGCCTCTGGCAAAAGATCAGCCAAACCAGACTGCCACTATGTGATACGTCCTGCCCACGTCTGAGCTGCCTGCTGCCGTGTACCCTCACCATCAGATCAGATCTCTTCAGCACAGGCACCTGCCCAAATCAGAGCCAACTTTTCTGTGCCCTGGGTACCTCCCAGGGGTTAGTTCCCAAGCCATGGCCCCACTGCTCTGGGCTGACTGCAACAGCCTTTGTAGTGGGGCCATGTGGGTGATGACTCTCTTTGGCTGATCTCAAGTCCCTCCTTCTATGGTTGGTGGTAATCATGAAGGAAGGAGATTAAGCTGTAGCAAGAAATGTGCAGTAAGAACTCTGAAAATAGTTACTGCTTCCAAACTCACTACTCTAGACAGAGGCCATTTCTGGCTTGATACCTGCAATGTTATCAAATAATGTTCAGGTCATGTTTGCTAGACCATTTTCCTCATTCTCCCCATTTCTCAATCATTCCCAGTCTCCGACTTCTAAACAAGATCCACTAGAGTAAACTCTCTGAGGCTACGGAAGGTTGGCTGTGTTCACTGTGGCATTTCCAGTGCACACTGTGGGTGCCGGTACATGTTTGTTACTGGAGGAAGACACTTACCTTCAGCTTAGCTATCTGTCCCACAACAGAGCCCACTGCTCCCGCTGCTGCATTAACCATCACTGTTTCTCCACCCTTCACACCACAGATTTCAAGTAGGCCAAAGTAGGCTGTTAGGCTGAGGGAAGAAAATTAAGGACATGTGGATACATTTATAGCTTTCTCCTATAAATCATTCAGATATACCCTGAAGGCCTTCTCAGTAGCCCAGTGCCATGGGTCCAGGTAAAAGACAGAAAATACAGGAAATGAATATTGCCAACCACTAATAGTCCACCTCCTCTTTCCCTACCCCTAGATAGGAATAAAGATGGTGGGAACTAGGGAGGGATGGAGAGTTGGCTGGAAAGGGGCTACCCCAGGCCAAGTCTCAGGGGCAAAAGAAGATAGGTTTCTCCCTAAATTTTAGGGATCCAAGAATAGAGAACTTGTGCCTCATTCCCATTTAAGTCCTAGGGAGATGGTGAGCTTCATGGGGAAAGCCTCCACGTCATCATGGTGCCAGAGCCACAGAGCAGGTATAATGTATGAGGTATCCAGGCATGAGAGGGTCAGAGAGAAACACCTTGAGTTTTCCATGGCTCCAAAGTGGTATGGAAGAACTTCTGAAATTTCCCCATCTCAGCCCAAGTGAGAGGTCGAAGTTAACCTGCAGGGAAAGAACTCCCAGGCCTGCAAAGATGCAGCTCAGACAGTGCTGATGGGGACTCGGTGAAGAAAGCACCACACCCCAGTGGACTGCCAGGCTGGAAGGGGGTGTGGCTGAGGACTCAGTGGGGAAAGTCACACTTTGAACAGAAGACCAGCATAAGACTAAGATCAAGATCAAGAAGTCGTGCCCCTTCTTCTGACACTGAATTTGTGTTAGCCCTCGGAGCTTTTACATGAACCCTAGAGAGAAGAAAAAGGAAATTCCGAGTTTTAAACCTGAAATGATCCGAGAAATCACTGCGTTTAACTGAGGTTTTATTTACTCTGCCAGTCGAGATGAGGGCTTGAGATAGAAATGAAGTACAGTAGTAGAAAAATTTTAAGTTACGTTTTTGCACTCCTGAGTCCGAGCCCATGAAATCTATATCCATTATGGCGATTAGTAAGCCACTTGCAAAAATTCAGACAACGTCGTGTAAAGTTATTTCTATATAAAACAGAAACTACATGTTGGCATAACTTAAGCTTCCTCAGCCTCTGACTGTATTTGGGGGCCCATTAGAGTTGGGCATTGACGGGAAGGCGGTGAAAGGCACAGACAGCACCTTTTCTGAGGAGCCAAATATTGAATATTCCCTTAATGCAGTTTTTTTCAAAAGATGGATGGAGCACCACCTGCGTCAGAATCACCTGAAGTTTTATTAAAAACTTAGATTCCTAGGCCCCACCTCAGACCCACTGATTCAGAAATACTAGGATGCACAAATCCGAATTTTAATGAGACTCTAGGTGATTCTCATGAATACAAGCAACTGAGAACCAGCACCTTAATGAATGTTGATACCAGAGTGTGCTAGGCAAGTTAACCTAACTCCAAAAGAGAAGCAGAAGGTACACTTTCTGATTGTGTCCTTCCACCCACAATAACCAGTATCCCTTCTCCCTCAATCTCCCTTCTAGATATTTCCAGAGTCAACTTTTAATTAGACATAATGAACTAAGATACACAAGGCCTTTCCCAAACATTACCTCTTTTTAAAAATAAAATAGAGTTAAGATGGAGAAGCCAATGGTAAAGAAATCCTAGAGGGAAAATTAAAGGTACACTTTGGACTAAGTGGAACTTGATAGAATCAACAGGTTGGAGAGCAAAACACGTGAACTCTTTGAGCTTAACTGAGAAAGCAGAGGTCCCTGGTGAAGGAAAGAATGCAATACTTTGGGGGGAACATTAAATCTTTGGAGTCTGAACAGCTGAAAGACACCCTAGGTTTCAAGGTTCAACTTCTTTCAAAGTCTATAGCAGAAGTTCCAGCATTCTTGAAGGGTTGACCCATCCCATTGGTAAGTGGCTCATAACGGCAGGAATTCTCAAAGGATGGGTGGTGTGTTGTTGGAGGCTAGTAACATGGCAAAACTCCTCCCCTCAGTCATTGGGAAACCACTCAATGGTGTAAAGCTGATGGTTTGGAGTGGGAGTACAGTCCTTAGGGGCTCGGAAGAGATGAGTGAGAAATATACACACAAATGAATAAATTACCCTCTGTTACAGGATTCAAATCTAATATTTTACAAACTATTTTCTCCCCACCTAAGTCACGGGAGACTTGCTCCGAGGTTTCCTCATGTCTACGTTCATGCCCATGCTCCTACACTTGGCTCACAATTTACAGAGAGTGATGGGACAGCAGAGTGGGAGGGAGACCTCTCATTGAGAGGGTACAGGCAGGCAGGAAAGACCAGCAAGTGCTGTAAGACTGCTTAGTGCTCACTAATTGAATGTAAGACGGTGTTAAGTATCCTCTAATTTCACAATGTTGTCTCTTGGCTGTGGCAATTCTGAGGAGTTCAAATTCTGAGTGCAATATGAACTTGGGGTGTATGGGACTGGTGTTTGCTAGAGGCTGATTGTTTGGGGTGTATATTTCCATCTCATTGTTTAGAAGTCTTTCAAAGTGGGAAAAAGAAAGGGAAAAGGAGAATGGGAAGAAGGAAGGAAGGAATAAAAAGATCACACAACTTAGAGAAAGAAAGGAAATAAATGAATTCTAGGCTAGGAAAGTTTTGGGGACTCCAAAAGGAATTCAATCAACCTTGCTTCTCCAGGACATAAAAGGAAACTTGAGGTCCAAAGTGCAGCTGGGAGCTGGAGAGCAGACACAGCAGGAACTGACCACGAGTCTTCCTGAGGGATAAGGCCAAGAGACTCTTGAGTATTTTACTGTGCCAAGCTGAGTGACTGAACTTGTGACTCATCTCAGTTATTTAAACTTCAGATCCCCTTACACCTCAGGAAACGCAGATGTGAATAGGCAAAGGTGAGGAATGAGGGACGTATAGAAAGGTCAAAGTAGTCAACTCTCTTTCTCATTTTAAACTCTCAAATGGAGACAGAGATGTGTGAGGAGTGAAGCCAAGCCCTTTCCATCGAGAAGAGGAGCTGGTTCCTTTCTGTTGCTATTTGCCAGCTACTTGAGAGGGATCGTGCCGCATGCTGCTTCTCACGGGCACTTTCTTTTTGTACCTGAGGGTGTGTGACCTGATTTTCCTTCAGTGCCAAGGCCAACCGTAGTCTACTCTTCTTCCCTTCCTAGTCCCACCATCTTCTCTAATCAGCCCCTGAGCCTATAATATCTGAAGTCTCTTCTTGTTGACCAAGTTCTGGACAAACCATTTTGGAAAACCAGAATGTCAGGCATTCAAACAAATGAAATATACCCACGAAACTCACCCTGGCATGCCAACTGTTCCCAGAGCCAAAGACAGTGGTAACGTGTCTGGCCAACCTGTAGGCAGCTTTTCCAGTGCTTTTCCATCAGAAATGGAATGCATTGTCCAGCCTGAATGGGCCAGTACAATAGTTCCTGTTGGAAAGGCTGAGTTTTGACTTTCCACAACTCTGAAAGATAAAGCACATTGAGACATGCGAACCCTCTTCCCTTTCAAGGGAGTCAGGATGGTGTATGGTTAATGTACACAAAACGGCATTGAAGTTGACAGTCCATGATTGAGTACCGCACTGCATCTCTCCATCTTAATTCTTAGCCATTGGTATCTCCTTCTCCTTGAGAAGATATATGAGCCAACAGAGAAGAATTCTGTCAATTGGTCCAGCATTTGTCCCTATTCTCATTCACTTTTCTCTAATCAAGAGGTGTTCATCTTCTGGCTCAAGGTACCCTGAATACCAGCCTCTTCAGTTCCTCAGGGACCATCTTCCTCTCTCTGAATCTTTAACATTTTCCTCTTGACTATCCCTTTCCCTCAGTAAATAAAGGAACCACCTCCTCCTTCTCTCTTCTTCCTTTTACAGCCAAACTTCTTCACTTGATGACCCAATGCAACCTGTCTTCCACCCCCACTAGTCTACTAAGGTCACAACGACCCCCTGGTGCAAAATCTAGTGTACCAGCATCATTCATTATCTGACTTTACCTTTCTATTGTACTCAACCCCGTGGGTCACCCAAAACTCTTCCCCACTGGTTTCCAGCATACTGATTTCTCCAGGCTTTTTGCTTCCCCCTTTTTCTAAGCTGCTCCTTTTCTGTCTCATTTGCTGATTCTTTCTTCCATCATCTCCCACTCTTACCTTTTTTTACTGTCTTCCTCCAGACCATAAAGTTATATAACACACATTTATTTTAGCAAATTAAAAACATATAAAATAAAAATAGCAGTTCTAATACCACAATACAAAGATAACTGCTAATATTTTGGTGTATTTTATGGCAATCTTGATATATTTTTAAGTCTAAATTATATGTATTTACATAATCAAAGTAATTTTATGTGTTTTGTAACCTTATTTTTCTCTCTCAACATTATACTAGTCTATATAAGTTATACTTTTTTTCCATGTTGGTAAGAATCCTTCAAAAACTGTAATGAATTTACATTATTCCCCTATTATTAGACATTTAGGTTATTTCCAGTATTTTTCCTAGTGTAAATTATACTTCAATTAATATTCATAAATATGAATTTATTATTTCTTTAGGTAATAGTTCTATAAATGGAATTACTAGGTCAAAGGATATTAAAACATTCGTAACTCTGGCTGCATATTGCCACATTCCTTTCTAGAAGATTATGCCAACTTCTGCCTCCACCCTTAATGTATGATTGTATCACAAAATTTGCATCACAAGGTATTATCTTTAAAAAAATAAAACTTTGCCAACTCAGCAAACATAAATATATGCTCATTTCTTTGATTCTTAGCAAGAAATGTGTAAGGCCTATACAAAGAAAATTGGTAATGGCCCATAAGACAAAAATGGGTAAGTGGAGAGATATACCTTGTGCTTGGAGAAAAACATTGTAAAGAAATCAGTTCACTCTAAATGAATCTATAAAGTCATCAAAATCCCAATAAAAATTCAAATAAGATTTCACTAAATGGTATTATAACTTGCTAGTCAGTTGGACATAAACACTTCAGTCCTTATTCCAAAATAAAAATTAAATGACTCCAAGATTTAAATGTAAAAATTACAGTATAAAATACTAGAAGGAAACATGAATAAATATTTTAGCCATTTTGGAGGGGAGAATGCCTTTCTTATCATGTAATGAAACCAAGATGTCATAATTACTAATATTAATAATTTTATCACATAAAAACTTTAAATTAGGATTGGGCACAGGAGAAAGATAAACAAAGACCCAAATATTGGCAACACTAATATTCCTAACACACAAGGAGCTTTTACAAATCAATATAAAAGATGAAAAGACCTAAAGGAAAAAGGCAAGGCACATAAACAGCTAATTCAGAGAAGAAAACTGCTAATGAATTTACAAAAAGAATGTGAACATCACTAATAATGAAAGAAATTCAAATTAAACTAAGCATGAAGTATCAACATATTCATCTCAGATTTCCAAGATTGATGGTAAGCAATGGGCATATAGGTATGAGAGAAACAGGTTCTTTAATACCCTACTGGTGGGAGTGGATACTCATACAATCTTTCTGAAGAGCAATTTATCATCATCTCTTCACATTAAAAAATGTGCATCTTACCTACACGACTGACAAACAATAATGTACCACTGAAATTTCACAAGGTTGTAAACTATCATAATCTCAATAAAAAGTTAAAAAAAAATGTGCATCTTCTTTGACCTAGAATTTATACTTCTGAGAATTCAATGTAAAGAAACATTCATCCAAGTGGGCAAAGAATACACAGAGACATGCAGATAGATGCATACATAGTCTTTGCAGAACTATTCGTAGTAGAAAAAAATTGGAAACAGTTGTTATCAGAAGTAGATTAATTAAATGGCAGATAAGAATGAAATAATCTGCAGCCATTAAAAGGTAGGTAGTATACTTATATACTGTCAACCAAAGATATCCATCACATAGTAAGCGAGAAAAAGCAATTTGCTGAAGGGCATTTAATCCCATTAAAAATTATACATATTAGTATGCATACTGAACAACTTTTGAAATAATAATACATTAACAACAGTCATCTCCAAGGTTCAGATGATGGAGGAACTTTCAGTTTCCAAGATATAAATTTTTATTTTATTTGAATTTTTACCATAATCATGACCTGGATGAATACAATTTTTTTAGTAATTAAAAGTAAGGATAGCAAAATGAAGTTGACATGATGACAATTTCACACCCTTCCGTCCCTGAATTAGTCAGGAAGGGGTCAGACTTCCCAAGTTATTTCCAAGGTCAGACAGTGCGTGAACCACGTGGGCTGAAGAAATTGTAGGAGCAATGGACAGAGAGCGGGCCCAGCAGGAGGTAAACGGAAGACATATTTTCCAAGCACTGGAACAAATGGAAATAACTACCTGGCCACTTGTTGCCCCATCATCACATCACCCTCCTTCAATTTTGTCGCCGCTATTCTGAAAAACAAAAAGCAAAAAACAAAATTCCATTCTTAATACATAATAGCATCTGGGAAAAACGGTCTTGAGTTTCGAACCAAACAGAAAACTGCTGGGGAAGTGTGCACAGAAACAAAACCAGACACAGGAGGGCAGAACAACTGGTGAAATGTGGGAGGAAGGCTGTTATAGTTCTGCTCTGTAACCCCAAAGAAGCATTCTGAGAGAACTTTTCTATAAAATGAACATGAGAATCTTTCCATCATGCTCATTGTGGATGAGCTTCTACCAGTGACTTTAAGAACATAACCCAGACACTGCTGGGTACTTGTTACCCAAAACACTAGCCACACAAAAAGAAATGCTAGTTAACATTTTAAAACATATTTTTCACTTTAGATTTGAATCTAGCAATCAGTTATGAAAAAAAAAGATTTAAAAGAACAATGGCTATATTATTTACCTAGGCAAAAAATTACTGAGAAATTAGTGGCCCATGAAAGCTTTTCTTCCCTCCCCTTGTTTACTGAATACACACATTTGAGTCAACTGCATATTACCTAAATTAAAAGGATACAGGTAAACGGAAGGCAAGAAAATCTAATTCTGGTCTTAGCATCTTCCTCTACCCAAATATTTGCCAGTAGTGAAGTGGACACATTGGAGTTTGGCTTCTTTTTTCTTTTACTTTTTTGGGAAGCAATTCCGGTGAGCAATGAGAGGCAAATTGTGCACATTAAGATAGGAGATGGTTGTAAAATAAAGAGGCGAGGGAGTCCCTCCCCAAGCTTCTCAGACCTTTGCCTGCAAGAGATGAGCATCCATGAATCCCATCACTGATACCAAAATGGGAGAAATGAGTGTTTTGAATCAGACTGACTACTTCAAAATAGGGTCCAAAACACAACATAAGAATCTTTAGGAGGAAAATAATACCTCATGTAAGGATCCACGGTGAGGAACAAAGCTTCCAGCAAGACCTCTACAAAATAAAGCATTCAACAGGCAATTAGAAACTGAGGGCCTGGTGCCTTGTCTTTGGCATTCTAAATAAACACAGGCAATCCTTCTGCTTCAGGATTGCCCTTTTGTTTGTGCTTTCTATTGAAGAGACAAGAAGGGCTCTCATTTTTGGCTTATCCTAGTTAATAACAATAATATTACATTATTATTATTATTATTTACTCAGCACTCACTCCATGCTTTACATGGATTATGTCATATGATATTCTCAACAATTATTCTTTCCATTTTATTTAAGCTTAGGTTAAGTAACTTGCCCAGGGCCACATTTGTAACTACTATGTTACAGTGCTCACATAATGTTTCATCACAAGCCCCAGTTAGTATTAAAAAATACACGCATTTTGCTGGAGTGACTCTGATGCATGCATTCTCTGGAATTTTGAGTCCAAGTCCTGGCTACCTCAACTTAGATGGGGCCCATAACTGCCATGCTTCTTGATTGCATGCCCTTTTCTCAAAGCTTACCTACCTGTAAACACCCCTTACAGATACCCCTTATAATGTGCTCTACAAAGCTAATCTCCAAACATGTTATGGGGTGTGTTGCTATTTCTTTCCCTTAGATTTCTTTAGGTTTATCTTGTCCCCCCATCTCCCCGAAGTGGACGGGAGGCTCCTCAGTGACGAATGAGGGGTTTTCCCTCCTTGTCTGCTCACAGGGATATTCTGAGCTGTGCACAGCTGCTAGGCAGTGCTTACCCCACTGTCATCATCGGGCTACCAGGACAGAGGGGAAACCCTCCCCGTGGTCTGGTGAAAATCATGAAGAACTGCACCCAAGGATGAGTTTCAATAACCAAGAAAAGCAGAGGGATCCCCCAACATGACATCCAGGCTTCACACAGACAATCTTGAAAACGTCTTTGCGGCAGATTGCAAAATGGCCACAAATACCTCCCATCCCTGTGTGCGGGCCTCTTTGCCACTCCTTCCATCAAGAAGTCTATTTGTTACCCCTTGAATCTGGGCTTGGCTATGTGACTTGCTTTGACATGACATATTAGCAAACATGATACAAGCAGGAGCTTGAAAAGTGCTTGCACATTGGACTTGCCAGTTCCTGCTGCTCCATATCCATGAGACCACTGTGGAAACAAAGCTCAAACTAGCTTGCTAGAAAGGCCACATAGAGGAGAACTGAGACATGCATCTCAGTAGAAAGTCTGCTAACCACTAGACATGTAAGTGATGCCCATCCTAGATTAACTATTGAGCCCAGGTGAGAGCTACAGAAGAACCATCAACTTAACCCAGTCCAAACTGCCAATCCACAGAATTGTGAACTAATAAATGATTGATCAAAGTCATTAAATTTGGGGGTAGCTTGTTATGTAGCAAAATCTAACTGATACAGTCTCTTCCAACTCAAATCTTATGAGTATGACTTACCTCCATTTTTTAAGGGTGGGAGTTCAACTGTCTTCAACTCAAAGTTACTATTAGTAGGGCTGCCTTCAAAGTGCTTCTTCAGGATCCAGGTCTTAGCATGAACCATCCTGAAGCTTCTAGAACACAGTAAACAGGTAGTCAACTGCCGTGAAGTGACTGGATTATTATGGCTCCCTAGTGGAGGCCATACGGGACTGAAAACAGAGAGCAGTGTCTACCCATCATCTACTTCTCATCATTATCATTGAACATCAATCACATTTATTTTGTATTCGGTGTGTTTCTGTTGCTGTGTTAAGCATTTCATATGCATCCTTTGATTTTATCCTCATAACTTCACTATACGATAGGCATTATTATCATTGCTGGTGTGCAGTGTGCAGAAGAGAAAACTGAGGCTTCCTCAGAAATCTCCAAGACCAAGGAAAATGTGAACCGATATAGAAATGCTTCCCAGCCACCGCTAGGGTTTCTGGAGGGAACTAAACAGCAACCTGGCGTGCAAATATTTCGTTTCTCTCTTCACGTGAAGCAAATCCTAAGAAAAAGTGTTAAACACAAAGAGTCGAATAGAAGACCACGCACATCTTTCAGTCGCGTTCTAAGGCAGTCTCAGGAACACCTGAACACCACCGGGGGGGGGGGGGGGGGGGGGGGGCGCTGCTGCTCTACCCCATTCCAGGCACGAGTCTTCTTTGGCACCAGAGCGGAAATCAAGGATTTGTTTGAGCTTGACCTTACTCCCACATAGAACCAAGACCGGATGATTCCGGCTGCCCTGAGCACATTTGTCTGGGTCAGCACATTTTGCTGGGACTGATCTTCCCCACATCACATGGGAGCTGTGCCTTCCCCACGAGCTAAGAGGCTATAAACACGACCGCAGGCGCCGGCGATTTTACTCTGTCTAGGGACCAGAGGCAGGTAAGAGGAATAATTATAACTTGGAATGGGCACTTCTGCTTTGCAAGGGAACAGTCAGGGGCGGTCCGATCCGCAGCCACGCTGTTCCTTCTTGTCTCTTTTCCCAAAAAGGTAAGCCGCTGCGAATTCTGAACTCGCCACAAGTCCAGAAGCCCCCATGAAAAGGGGTCGCCGCAGAAGCAGGCGCGGTTCAGGGAGCGGCCCCCCGATCAGAGGACGGGGGCCAGGTGCGGTGCCTGGCGCAGGCACACTCGCCCCCAGCTCCCGCCTCCTCGCCCCGCCCGCCTCCGTGCCCTTTAACCGAATTCAGACCCCGACTTTCTTCTCCTTCCCTACTTGTCCCAGTTTTGCAGTCCCGCAAGTTCCGTGGCTTAGCCGCCTCCCCGGTGCAGGCAGCCCTGTCGTGCGGCCGAAATGCAGCCAGGCCACGCTCTTCCCTCCAGCACCCGTCTCCGATCTCTCCAAGAACCTGCAGGGCCCGGCAGGCATGAATCGGGACACCTGCTTCCAAGTTTCCTCCAGTGCAAGACCCAGACGGTATTCAGCCCATGGAGAGGGAGAGGAACGCGCACGCGCTCCGCAAGAGGGGAGTCTGGAAACTCAGCGGGAAAGACTCGTGGGGTTGGGAATGTTTACTTACAAGAGTTCGTGGAATCCACCAGCTAGAGAAAGCGGCTGGAATTGCGCAGCACAGTGCCAGGGGCGGAGATTTATTTCCTGCCGCTGAGGGTGCGGCTTCCCCGGGGGCGGAGCTGCCCGGACCCCGAGCGGTCACCGAGGGAAAACCAGGGTCGGAGGAGTGTGTGTGTGCGTGTGTGTACAAGGTGCTTCCGGTAGTAAAAGCCCCCATCGGAGCCCCGCCGGGGCGGTACGGACCCTGCACCAGCTTCCTCACTGGGAACGTGGCGGAAAGATGCTGCGTGGGAGTACCAGCGGTGGCTCACCGCCCAGGCAGGGAAGAGCCAAAGCCAGGGCCGCTGCCCGGCTCTGGTTCAAGGCTGCCTTTGGTCCCGGGCTCCTCCTTTGCCGGGCAGTTCGTCCGGCGTCCACGCCTCCACCCCCGTGCCCGGGTGCTGGCCCCCTGTCCGCCCGTCCCCGCTCTCACTGGTGAACACCTCTTTACCTTTCACGAGCCACTTCAAACGTCGCCTCTTCTGTAAGTCCTTCTCAGACTTTCCCAGGTGGGAGTGAGCGCTCCTGCAGCTGAGGCGCCTCCCGCCATCCCAGCCTTGCCACATCCCGCCCTTGGCACGGCCTTCCCGGCTCGGGGAGGAGAGGTGGTCCCCGGAGGGGTTGTGTGCAAAGCGGAGGTGCTGGTTTTAGACTACCCTGGTTCGAAGCCTGCGTCCCCCACTTCCTAGTGGTGCAGTTTTGAGTGAGTTACGTGATCTCTTCCTACCTCAGTTCACTCATCTGCAAGATGGGGATAAGAATACTGCTTTATGAAAATTAAATGTCTTTTTGAAGAATAAAATGAGTTAATAAACACCAGCTCTCAGTAACAATCTTTTGACCTCCCCACTGGCCCTAAGTCAGTCCCAGGCATCTAACACGGTCTCCAACTCCTAGCGCAATCCTTGTCAATTGTGTAATGTAAGTAATGAAGCAACGCGAAGATGTTTAAAGAACTTGAAAACGTCCCCTTCATTTCCTCCATTACCCCCTCCTTCAGGTGACCAAAGTCGTCGGTGTAGTGTTTACCCGTCCACTCCCTTCTGCACAATCATTCAGACATACATATAGAAGGGCTTTTTTCCCCGTTTTTACAAAAATGGGATCAGAGTACCAAAAATGGGATGGTACTCTGCACCTTTTTTCCTGATTTAACATCATGGACATTTCTCCACGAGACAGATAGAACTTGTTACTTAAATAGTTCTGGGGGCCGGCTGGCCAGTGGCCGGGTCGTAAAGTTCCCCCGCTCCGCTTCAGCGGCCCGGGATTTCGCTAGTTACGATCCTGGGCACGGACACGGCGCTGCTCATCGAGCCACGTTGAGGCGGCATCCCACATGCCACAACTGGAAGGACCCACAACTGAAAAAATACACAACTATGTACTGGGGGGATTGGGGGAGCAAAAAGCAAGAAAAAAAAAGTGTTAGGGTAATGTTGAATAATTTTGGTGCATGATAATTGATTCCTCAATGTTGAGGACGTCTCTAGTTTTGTTTTCCTTTCTCAGTATCAACAGTGCAGCGATGTGTCCCTGTGTGGAGAGCTTTACTTTCTAATGCTTTTATTCCCATAGGCTAGATTTCCAAAAGTGAGATTGTTAGGTCAAAGAATATGTGTTTTTAATGTATTAGGTTGAATCATATGAAACTGTTGATATTCAACCACTTTGACCTAAAGAAATAGCAATTTCATAAGGTTAAACCTATTATATTGCCAGATTACTTTCCAAAAATATTGTAGCAATTTACATTCCTATCATCAACGTATGACAGTTTCTGTTACCTAAAGCCAACATCAGGACTGATGTTTTTGCTGTGTTCTCTTTTTGCCAATCTTTTGAGTGCAAATGAACTTATGCTCCCACCCCTGCCCAAGGGCTGAGATCTGACTTCATTCACATTTGGTACCTTGCACCTACCTGTATCATTTAGGATATTTTTGTCTTGCAAGTTACAGTAATTCATACAGGCCTAAAAAATAAGGGACATTTATTGGCTCATGTGACTGCAAAGTCCAGAAATAGGATGGGCTTCAGGGTGGGTCTGAATCAAGACCTGTCATATTTCATCCGTACACACTGCTTTCCATGGCATCAGCATAATCCCTCATGGTGACAGAATGGCTGCAGCAACTCTACTATCCTAAAAGAGAGAAAAATATCCATGCTCCCAAATTCCTAGCAAAAGTCCTCTACCTCTCATTGATTGGACCATCTCTAAACCAGTCTCTGACCAATTAAAGACTGAAAAGCTGAGGCCTGTGTGACCTAAACAAATCATGTGTCATGGGGGATAGGATTCCTCTTTTCTCTTTGCCAGACTTTCAATTAACGCACTGAGTGAAAGACTCCGAACTCTAAGAGATAGGCTTCTCAGTTTTCCCTATAAGATAGTGTTAAGTAATAATCAGTTGTTAGCTGTACAGTATTGTCAGTTTTGCAGGAAAAGTTGTTTGTTGGTTTCAAAAAAAAAAAAACATTGAGGGGCTGGCCCAGTGGCGCAGCGGTTAAGTTTGTACATTCTGCTTCTTGGCGCCCCAGTGTTCGCCGGTTAGGATCCCGGGTGCACACATGGCACCGCTTGGCAAAAGCCATGCTGTGGTAGGCGTCCCACGTATAAAAAGTAGAGGAAGATGGGCATGGATGTTAGCTCAGGGCCAGTCTTCCTCAGCAAAATAGAGGAGGATTGGCAGCAGATGTTAGCTCAGGGCTAATCTTCCTCAAAAAAAAAAAAATGTTGAAAGAAGTCTGAGTGTCTCTGAGACAGAGTATATTAGATTGCTAGGGCTGCCTAAGAAAATACCATAGACTGGGGGGCTTAAACAATAGAAATTAATTTTCTCATGGTTATGGAGGCTGGAAGTCCCAGATCAAAGTGTTGGCCGGCTGGTGTCTCCTGAGCCCTTCTCCTTGGCTTGCTGATGGCTGCCTTCTTTCTGTATCCTCACGTGGTCTTTTCTCTGTGCACGCACGTGCCTGGTGTCTCTCTCTCTCTTCTAGAAGGACACCAGTCACATTGAATTAGGGGCTCTCCTAACAGTCTCAGTGGAATTTAATCATCTCTTTGACTGTCCTGTCTCCAAATACAGTCGCATGGACTAGAGCCCACTCGTATGACCTCCTTTAACCTTAATTATCTCTTTAAAGGTCCTATCTCCAAATATGATTACCTTCTGAGGTACTTGGGTCGGGACTTCGGCATATAAACTTGGGGGGAACACGTTCCAGCCTGTAACAGCGCGTATGGGTAAAATGTGGTGGATGCACCCTGTGAGGTATCATGCAGCAATCAGAAGCACTGGGCTAGATGTACATGCAACAATCTGGATGAATCCTACAAACACAGTGCAGCCCGAAATCCCAAGGAACAGAGTGAGGCATGTAAGCCAATACCACGTTTATAAATTGAGTATATGTCCACAGTGCATGTTATGCAAGAACATTTACCAAAAAAACCAAACTACACATTAAACACATCACAATAGTTACCTCTAGTAGGAGGAGGAGAAGAGTAGAGAAGGGGGATTTTTTTTTAAAAGGCACATAAATTGGGGCCAGCCCCGTGGCCGAGTGGTTAAGTTTGCGCACTCCGCTTCAGCGGCTCAGAGTTTCCCCAGCTCAGATCCTGGGCGTGGACATGGCACCACTCATCAGGCCATGTTGAGGCAGCGTCCCGCATGCCGCAACTAGAAGGACCCACAACTAAAAAAACATACACAACTATGTACTGGGGGGCTTTGGGGAGAAAAAGGAAAAATAAAATCTTTAAAAGGCACATAAATTAATGAGAGAGAGAGGAAGTTTAACAGACCAGTGGTGGTAACATACCATAAACTCTAATGAGTATGAAAAATTCAACTTCCTGGTCCTGAGTTCCAAAGTCAGATATGAACAGTGAAGAAACCATGATGTCCCACCCTCATCTTCTGAGCATGGCAGACAGAGATTTTGCCACAGTTCAGCTCCATGGATGCAAGACAACCAACCTCCCTCTTTTTAATCTGAGATGCTTGGCGCAAGTGGTGACCTCCAATTGCAACATGTCCTTTCCCATTTGGGGCACAGAGAGTTTATGGAAATACTCTAATGGAAATACTGTAAAGGAACCAAAGTAATAAGCAGGTACAATTAATGGCAGACAGCCAGGACTTTGAAAAACATTTCACGCTTGGTATATCCAGGGGCAGATCATGCTGTTGCCTGTCCGATATCCATTCTTTGTCTTTCCTGTATCCATACCCCAGTTTTGTTCATGATAGCAGTGGGCCCGGTTAAGAACTCTACTTTCCAGGCTCTTTTGCAGCTGGCATTGTGATGCAGTTCAGGCCAATAAGACATGAGCAGCCATCCAATGGGTGGGACTTTTAGAAAAATTGTTGTTTTCCTGATTAAAATAAGAAGTGACAGGGGGCGGAGCAAAATGGCGGGGTGAGCAGACCCGGGATTCTCTCCCCTCCAAAATACAACAAAAGATTGGAAGAACTGAATTTCAGAAAATAAACATAATGCCAGCTCGTTAGAGACCTACAATACCAAGAAGGCAGAGATCATAAACCTTGCTTACAGCCTCGGAGGTGCTGGTAGGAGAGAACATCGCTCCCTCCCCTAGAGTCTGTGATCACTGCGGTGCGGGTTGGGAAGGAGCGGGGGAGGGGCTGCGCCACCGGGGATCATCCAGGACTCCTGCCGCTGATTCAGTGGAGACCTGCTGACGGGGGGGAAAGCTTCTGTCCGCGGGGACCCCATAAATCAAGGGCCTTGGGAGACCATAACAGCACCCCCCCCTCCCTCCCCCTCCCCTGCAAAGCCAGTGGGCGCAGCCATCTTGCCCCAAGGTGGAGAGCTCATAACACGTGGCTCTTGACCCCCATCTAGCACGGACAGGCTGTAACTGCAACTGAATTCTACCACCATGCAAAAAAACCACTCCTCTACCATCCAGCAATTTATAAAAGCCCCAGACCAGAAGGAAAACAATAAAAACATAGAATTAAGTCCTGAGGACTTGGAAGTAGGTAAACTAAGTGATAATGAGTTCAGAACAGCTATAATCAAAAAACTCCATGAGGTAGAGAGACAGATAGAAAAACAAGCCAAGTTCTGGAGTTACTTCACAAAAGAGATTGAAATCATAAAGAAGAATCAAACAGAATTACTTGAGATGAAACACACAATGGACCAGATAAAACAGAATACGGATTCCCTGAATGCCCATGT